TGTATTTCACCTACAATACTTGCAACAGTTGAATTCCTCAAAGTTTCCACCATTTGCTAGGTTCTTGGCCTGGTACCTTCCTTACCAGTTGTAAGGCCAGGACCCTGCAAATCAGATACCAGGCCAGTTTTCCTGGGAAGGCTTTGTAAGTTGGCTCTATGAGTTCTTAAAGTGGCTAGTCATATCTGATTCAGTGAGCATCATTCTCACACATGACACTCCAGGTTATACAGTTGATTTGCCCAGTTATATCTTGCCAATAGATTCTCATTGAATCAATGCAAATAACTGTGTTTCCATGAAAATTAAGGCGTCTCTGTAACAGTTTTCTTAAATTCTGGGCAGTCAGTGAGAATTGGGTATCATTTCTTAAATGTTTTGATTTAACTTATAATACCAGAGTTTACGAAATTGTGGGTTAGAGATAGCTTTAAAATAAGAGAAAAGGCATCCTCATATATCCAGAAAATAGAACATTAAAACAACATCAACAGTATTCCAGACAAATAACCACAATAGAATTTCCCTGTTCTGTTCATTCAGTTCTATGAATGAACTGTAATTAATTCTTGTTCTGATGGTTCTTGGTTTAGCAGTTCACATTCATGAAGCCATCTGCATTCAGACTAAAAAGGGTCCAGAAATCCAAGGAAATCCTGACTCAATCCACTGGCACAGCTTAAAAATTATCTAAGCAATGTCAGCTCAGCGGCCTGTGCCAAAGAGTCTGTTCTTTGAAATATCAATATTTTAAAATACCTAGTACAAATAGTTCTTTTCCATGAAACTCTGAGGCTATCCTTTATTGAAGTCACAAACTCTATAGCAGGGCCTTCGGGCAAGGATCAGAATAATACAGAAATTATCTACAGATTATAGAGATTTTGTAACTTAAGGGTTAATTTGTAATTGTGACCAATGATATCAGAATGAGGGAAAGTAAAATTCCCCATTGGGATATGCTATATAACTATTTCCTAAGAATTGTGATCAGTATTTCCCCATGGGTAAAACATATTATAGACAATAATGACATCAGGAAATCTCCACAGTCTTCCAATAAAACATAATTTCTGAAATACTAAGAAAATTTTTTACTTACTGACTTAACCTAGGGCCGGCTGAGCATCTCTTCTGATCTGACAATTATTCCCATTTACTCTTAAAATAGTAACACATCAAACAAATGCAATTATTTATAGCATTTCTTTTTTAAATTTTTTTTCCTTTTTCAGGCAAGGTCTCACTGTCACCCAGGCTGGAGTGCAGTGGTATGATCACAGCTTGCTGCAGCCTCAACCTTTCAGGCTCAAGTGATCCTCTGATCTCAGCCTCCCTAGTAGCTGGGACTATAGGCGTGTACCACCACATCTGACTATTTTTTTAATTTTTGTAGAGACAGGGTCTCACCATGCTGCCCAGGCTGCTCTCAAATTCCTTGGCTCAAGCAGTCCTTCTGTCCCAGCTTCCCAAAGTGCTGAGATTACAGACATGAGCCACTGCACCTCACCACATTTCTCTTTTTGTAAGACAAGGGAGCAAGTCTTTATGATTTTCTAGGACCTCTTTGGGAAATCTTCAGGCATAAAACACATCCTAAAAATTTTATTTTTTCAAAACAGAGGTTCAGTTTGGAAAGGCAAAACCAGGGTTGTATATAGTAAGACATTCTTCTTCAAAGGGGTTAACGTGTTTAAGTTCCCTTGTCCATTGTTCCCTGCTCTCAAGGCCAGACTTCCTTACTCTCTGTGTTCCCTTGCCCTGGGAAACAACCTTCCTCTCAGTCTTTACCTATAGAGCCCACATTCCACATCTGCTACTCCCTCTGTAAATCACCCCTCCCGTTGCAATGCCCCCTACCCCCACCGCCAAAACTGTTTTCCCACCAGTGTAACCGCATCCCTGCACTTCTCAAGTTAGCCAACCGAGTTCAGCTTAGATTGTGCAGTCCAACTCTACCCAATGGAGACTGGACACAGCAGTAGGAGCCAATGCGTTAGGGATAAAGCCACTGTTTTCCTTTGTTTGGTGTGCTCTTGTGGTGACCAGACTAACGAGCAGCACCCTTCTGCAGAAGTAAACTTTGCCTTGCTGAGAAATCAACTGTCAGAGTGTTCATTTTATTTGTTACTTCAGGCTTTATTTCTAACAAGAGCTGTCAAGGGAATTTTAAGTGGGGGTAAGATAGGAGCATGGCTGCTTAAGAAGCAATACCTGGTTATCTGTATAATTAAAGCAGTAAAACATTTAAAAATAAGCATAGATGATAACACAATTTTAAATAATTTAAAATTCTTTTCACACGTGAGTACTTCTTGTTCTGTCTCTTTTTTTTTCTTAAGAGCATTAATCGAGTCAACATTAAAGTACTGAAAATAATTCTGGTGAGACATAGAATCTCTGCTAGCTAGGCAGATTCCACAGAAGGTAAAGAATATCCTTTCACATTGTAGGCATTAATCAGTAAACTAACGAAGCAAGCCATCAAAACTGAGGGAACTTAGCCAAAATTGTAATGCATCTTACAGCTTTTTTCCAGACTAAAGTATTGTAAGCCAAAGCAAGTAAAACTCGCTTTCCAAGTTTTGTCCTTCATTTTTCTCTTTCATATTCCAGAACAAATGGACACTTTAGTATTGCCCTTTTCGTCTTCATTCTCTCAAAAGTATACAGTGGAGTTTTCCAGAAGCTATAAGAAGTGATATTATGATTATGATAAATACAGAAAGATGATTATCCAGCTCTCCTATTAAGTCAGATATTAGAAAGACTTGCAAAAATATTAAAGAATGTCATTTTTCTCATCATAATTTTTTGTTTTGGAAAATGTCTTTTTCTTTTTTTTTTTTTACAAAATATGTGACATGTTAAAATGAAATGGATTCATCATTGCTGTTTTCAAATGAATTAATGTTTTTTAAATTTCTCAGTTTTATTTCCAAATACAGCAAACATTGATCATTGTCACTTATTAAACCAAAGCTCTTTGGTGTCCTCAAATAAGTTTTAAGAGTATAAAGGGATTGTGAGACCAAAATGTTCAAGAACCACTGCTTTGATACAAAGCTAACCTGTTTTTCTTTGAAAAACAAAAACCATTGTATTTCTTTTTCATTAATGCTCCTGGCATAATCTCAACCACCCATTTAAATTATAATAATTAACCAAAGAAACTAATTTATATTTCATAGAGAAAATTAGGAGGAGGGAGGATATGGATAAATCATCCCATATAATCATTTTAGCAGACTAGCAGAACTCATGAACACGCATTACTGAAATTTCCATAGTGACATAAGGCACTTTTACATTCCCTTAAAGTGGCAAAAAATGAACTCATGTATTGACACAACTCAAAGGTATAGCCTCGCTATAGCATAGAAACATAAGAAGCAAACATATGTAAACTTAATATTATACTTTATACAAAGTCACAGTATTCTAACTTATGTAGACATTATCTAAGTATCCAATGGTTATTGATTAGCTCAGGTTAACATTAGTCCATTTTGTCACCTAAGGATCTTGGAAATTATCTTTAAGTTGATATGCTACAAAATATAATTGCTATTCATATAAAAAAGTTTGTCAGAATATTCAATTCAGCTGAACACAATTTATATTTTTAATAATCTTAAACATTATGTATGAGCTCATTTGACCAGCTATCCTGAATAAATTTAGGATAAATAAAAATAAAATGCACACTTGTATTCTGTTCAACACTAATAAATCAGAGAAAGATGTAACATTTTAAAACCTATGTTACTAGTCTCATTTGCCAAATGAAACTTAATTTTATGAACTTGGATTCTTAAAATATTACTGAATTGGCTAGCAGTTTCTGTTAAAAGAATTTGTATGTTTAAGTCTAGCAGGTTCACAATATTAGAGGTTTGATGTTCCGTGATTTTAGGAGGACTCAATTTAGAAAAGCACTTGTTTATCTCTATCAGACAATCAGAACAAGTTCTTTTAATTTAAAAGGTATCGTAATCCCATTTATTGACACCCTCTGGAAATAGGAAAGCATTCCACACACAGCAAGAGGTGAAGGCTCTTCTGGATTATAAACACATAGACAGAGCTTAATAGCTTTAGGTTTTCAACTTCAGCCACAGATCAAGAATAAACAGAAATACACAAAAAATCACCAGTCCAGATATCAAAGAGCTGTTCTCCTTCCCAGTAGAACCAAAATTCTTCATTGATTTGAGCTCAAAATAGACAACCATACCAAAAAAAAAAAAAAAAAACCAAGAAACTATATATCCTATTCTCTCACCCAACAAAGACAGATCTCTGTAATCCATTGTTAACAATCACTCAGACCATAAAACTAAATTCTCCATCATCTTTGCTGCCAAGAAGGAATAACTTGTCAGCCCTGCACAAACTAGAAAGAAAAATAAAACAGAATCAGGAGAGAGAGTAAAAACTAGAGAAATGGAGAGCCTGTGAAATTCAGGTCTGTTACTACTATGGATTCACTCTGGGAGCCAAGAAAAGGCACGGCTGGTCCTAAGCCACTTGTGAGATACACACCTGAGGCAACACAGTTTACCTGGCTGTGTCAGGTAAATCCGGTGGGCATCTCAACGGATGACCTCCAAAACTCTTCAAGGATAATTTTGTAAAAGGGAAAATCATGACTCTTGAACAAATATAAAATGAACATATGCTATAGATTTTAATTACTTGAGGAAGGAGGGAACCAGTAAGAAGTTACAGTCCATTCAACAATCAGCTTTTTTCCTTAAGTGTTGTAACTGACAGATTACCTCTTCCTGGGGCCTGAACATGTCAAGGAGCATTCAGACTTATTTTAAATCCCGGATACTCTTCTGACCTTTAGCATGCTGAAAATTCCATCAGGTTTCTAAGATCTACACTTGGGGATCAGAGTGAGTGAGCACGTTGGCTGACTTTGCCGAGGTTTCTGCAGCGAGGCTTTGCATTTGTTCTCCTAAACTGTCACTAACCCTTGGTTTCTTTCACAGCGACAAAGTCCAGGCCCTCTCCTATGCGCAGCACACGCGACAGCTGATCTCCTGTGGCGGTGATGGTGGGATTGTCGTCTGGAACATGGACGTGGAGAGGCAGGAGGTAGGTGGCACAGCAGGGTGGGGTGGGCCTTGTGGTTCTGGCCCTCCTCCCTTCCTGCTTATTTCTTATTCCTTTATGATTAAACCATGAAATAAGGCATGTAACGTCAAAGAATTATAGCATAAAAGGAGTTATTTGGGTTGAGTTTTTTTTTTCGCCCCTCACAAGTTGGCATGTAACATTCCTGTGATGGAGATTTCGTAAGAATTTTGACTGAGACTAAGCTGTTTAAATCTGTTACACCATTCACAGCAAAAGTACAGGTTAGGAAAAGAAATCATCTACTTCCTGGTGATTAGTCCTTTGGTATACAATGCCCTACAAAAACAGAGGACTCACGTGATTTATGTCATGGAAGAAAATAGTGGCTAAGATGAAGCAAGAATCCTTAGTTTGGTATTAATAGAAATACTAGAAATAATTATTTTGTACTTTGTAAGTCATGTTCTAAATAGTTCTCCAGATATAAATATATCCTTAGTTTTTTAGCACATATTTACATGTTATCAGAACATTCTTTTTTATGAGCTTTCACTTTAATCTTGGAGCATCTTAACAAATATGTTTCCTGCATATCTCCTTTGACAAGTACTTTGAAGTTAACCATTTTCCCATTACATTAGAATTATTCTGGGTAGACTTTCCCTTTGACAATGCACATTCTTATAATTAATTTCTTGCAGGATACAAGAATTACATAGAAAAGAAACACTTTAAAAAGACAAAAGTCTCCTACCTTCTTTCCATGCCCTCACCCCAGTCTCATTTCAAGAGAGTAGTTGCTATTACCCACAATGTAATGCCTTTTTCAAATGCCAGTAATTATATGCTTAAGAAGATTAAAGCTTTATTTGCTCAGATCTTAAGTCCATGGGAATTCTATTAGTAACTAATCAAAATGATCATTACTGTTAGAAGGTGGGGAATTGTAGAACATTGCTTTTGAAAACTATACTTGGCATCATTAATACAAAGGCTGGAGATGTTTGCAATGAGTGCCAGTCATGCTAACCATGTTCCCGCATGGCTGGTGATTATGTCCTGGGTTGGGTTCTGCATGTCAGCCTGCTTTGGGTTAGGGACAGTCACACCTGGTCTTTCCTGACTTTTTTCTGGACCCACCTAACCAAACCAGGGGAGGGGAGAAGGACCCGATTCTTTTCCCTTGGCGCATGCAGCCTGGACCCTTTATGGACAGAGGCCAAAGGAGGATAACAGTGTGGTGTCCAGAGATGAAACCAAGTGGTTGATGGGCAGTTCTTTGAGCAACCTTGTTTATGAGCCTCTTGATGTGCAGATATAAAGGCACCCAATACTATTGACTAATTTAAAATCTTAGTGAGTCAACACTCTAAATAAGCAATGGAGATTGTTCCATTCATTTTTTTTGCAAGTATCATTTTTATAAACATAAATTTCCTGAGATTTTTGTTTTAATCTTAGCCTCTATGGAGCTGCTTCCTAGTTATGATAAGTGCTGTGTAATGCTCACCTTGGGAGGTCTGCGACATATAATGAAATCGTCTCTAACCTGAAGTACTGACAGACTTTCTGAAAGAAAAGGCTTGTAGGAGGAAATTTCAGAATTCTATTAAACGGTATAAATCGTGAAATTATAGTTGATATATGCTAGAGCATCAGTGCTGGGTATTTTAGAAGGAATGGAGTCATCATTGGCTAGTGTTCTCAGTGAAGGATTGATGGAGGAACATTGTGCTGAAGGATCAACAGGGTCTGGATATGCTCTGAGCAGGAGCACCTGGGCTTTGCAGGCTAAGAAACAGCAAGAGTAAGGACCAAGAGTGAAACCACGATAGGTTGCTGCGGTGCATTAGTGCTCATGAGCAGTTTAGAGCAGCAGTCAGATGAGAGGATGGCAGCTAGCTGAAAGATAAGGGCAGACAATGGAAGACCTTGAGTAGCTGGATGTAGATCGAGCGACATCTCATAGGTTGAACAGGTGTCTTATACAGTTAAGAAAATCCATTTTTGTTTTGTTAACTTTTAGCATTTTTTATTTTTATTTTTTTTTAATTTATTTATTATTATTATACTTTAAGTTGTAGGGTACATGTGCATAACGTGCAGGTTTGTTACATATGTATACTTGTGCCATGTTGCTGTGCTGCACCCATCACCTCGTCATTTACATCAGGTATAAATCCCAATGCAATCCCTCCCCCCTCCCCCCTCCCCATGATAGGCCCCGGTGTGTGATGTTCCCCTTCCTGAGTCCAAGTGATCTCATTGTTCAGTTCCCACCTATGAGTGAGAACATGCGGTGTTTGGTTTTCTGTTCTTGTGATAGTTTGCTAAGAATGATGGTTTCCAGCTGCATCCATGTCCCTACAAAGGACACAAACTCATCCTTTTTTATGGCTGCATAGTCTTCCATGGTGTATATGTGCCACATTTTCTTAATCCAATCTGTCACTGATGGACATTTGGGTTGATTCCAAGTCTTTGCTATTGTGAATAGTGCCGCAATAAACATACGTGTGCATGTGTCTTTATAGCAGCATAATTTATAATCCTTTGGGTATATACCCAGTAATGGGATGGCTGGGTCATATGGTACATCTAGTTCTAGATCCTTGAGGAATCGCCATACTGTTTTCCATAATGGTTGAACTAGTTTACAATCCCACCAACAGTGTAAAAGTGTTCCTGTTTCTCCACATCCTCTCCAGCACCTGTTGTTTCTTGACTTTTTAATGATTGCCATTCTAACTGGTGTGAGATGGTATCTCATTGTGGTTTTGATTTGCATTTCTCTGATGGCCAGTGATGATGAGCATTTTTTCATGTGTCTATTGGCTGTATGAATGTCTTCTTTTGAGAAATGTCTGTTCATATCCTTTGCCCACTTTTTGACGGGGTTGTTTGTTTGTTTCTTGTAAATTTGTTTCAGTTCTTTGTAGGTTCTGGATATTAGCCCTTTGTCAGATGAGTAGATTGCAAAATTTTTCTCCCATTCTGTAGGTTGCCTGTTCACTCTGATGATAGTTTCTTTTGCTGTGCAGAAGCTCTTTAGTTTAATTAGATCCCATTTGTCAATTTTGGCTTTTGCTGCTGTTGCTTTTGGTGTTTTAGACATGAAGTCTTTGCCCATGCCTATGTCCTGAATGGTACTACCTAGGTTTTCCTCTAGGATTTTTATGGTATTAGGTCTAACATTTAAGTCTCTAATCCATCTTGAATTAATTTTCGTATAAGGAGTAAGGAAAGGATCCAGTTTCAGCTTTCTACTTATGGCTAGCCAATTTTCCCAGCACCATTTATTAAATAGGGAATCCTTTCCCCATTTCTTGTTTCTCTCAGGTTTGTCAAAGATCAGATGGCTGTAGATGTGTGGTATTATTTCTGAGGACTCTGTTCTGTTCCATTGGTCTATATCTCTGTTTTGGTACCAGTACCATGCTGTTTTGGTTACTGTAGCCTTGTAGTATAGTTTGAAGTCATGTAGCGTGATGCCTCCAGCTTTGTTCTTTTGACTTAGGATTGTCTTGGAGATGCGGGCTCTTTTTTGGTTCCATATGAACTTTAAAGCAGTTTTTTCCAATTCTGTGAAGAAAGTAATTGGTAGCTTGATGGGGATGGCATTGAATCTATAAATAACCTTGGGCAATATGGCCATTTTCACGATATTAATTCTTCCTATCCATGAGCATGGTATGTTCTTCCATTTGTTTGTGTCCTCTTTTATTTCGCTGAGCAGTGGTTTGTAGTTCTCCTTGAAGAGGTCCTTTACATCCCTTGTAAGTTGGATTCCTAGGTATTTTATTCTCTTTGAAGCAATTGTGAATGGAAGTTCATTCTTTTAGCATTTTTTAAAGGTATATATTGTATATAATATTCTTGGTAGAAAAGTTACAAAGTGCTCATTAGTAAATAGAAAAGATGTCAGTTACTCATACTACCACCACCCAGAAATAGCACTCTGAACATGTTGGCATACATCCTTCCTAACATTTTTCTCTACACCTAACACGTATGTAAGACTTTTTTTTTTTTTTAACAAAAAATAGAATCACAAACATGCTGACTTATTTTTTTTCCGCTTTATCGGTCCTTAACTCCCAAATGCCTCCTCATGGATACCCACTGTGATGCATTTAATGTGTGTCCTGAACACACATGCTTCCTTATAAAAGGGGTGTGTGTGTGTGTGTGTGTGTGTGTGTGTGTGTTTTAAAGTTTACATAACTCAGCTGGGCGCGGTGGCTCACGCCTGTAATCCCAGCTTTTGGGAGGCCGAGGCGGGTGGATCACTTGAGGTCAGGAGTTCGAGACCAGCCTGGCCAACATGGCGAAACCCTGTTTCTACTAACAATACAAAAAAAATTAGCCAGGCATGGTGGCAGACGCCTGTAATCTCAGCTTCTCAGGAGGCTGAGGCACGAGAATTGCATGAACCTGGGAGGCAAAGGTTGCAGTGAGCCAAGATCACACCACTGTATTCCAGCCTGGGCAACACAGCAAGACTGTTCCAAAAAAAAAAAAAAAAAGTTTATGTAACTGATGTACTGTAAGTCTAGTTCTAGTTCCAACTTTTGCCATTGAACCCTTTTGAGCTCTACCATCGTGCTGTTTCTTGTGGTGCTTCTGCACAGGACCCCATCATGTGTACCAGTCACATTTTACTTCTCTGTTTCCCAAGCAAAGGGCATGTAGACTGGCACAGACTCCCTGGTACCACACACAATGCCCAGATGACCTTCTTGTATGTGTCCCCTCACAGACCTGCACTGTGTGAGACTCTCAGGGCCATAAACCCAAGAGTGGGATCAATTGAAGGTATATTCTTGATTTTGCTAAATGCAACCAAACAGCTGTACTCATTTATACTTCTAATGGAGAACAGGGAGTTTTCTGACACTCCACATCCTTACCAGTAGCAATTGTTCCCTCCCTTTCTGGTTTTGCCCTTTTGGAGACAGAGGTAAAATAGTATCTCATTTTTATTTGCATTCTCTGCTTAACGGTAAATTTGAGCCTCTCCATATATGTTAGCCATTCAGACTGCCCTGACTGTGAACTGCATGCTCATATCTTTTGTATCTTCTGCCCGTTTCTCAACTGTTTCTTGTGATTTCCATACTGATTTTCCAGGGGTTCTTTGTATACAGTAATTTGCAGGAGTTGTTAGTTACAAAACTTTATAAATATCTTCTCCTAGTCTGTCTTAACTCCGTGCTATGATACTGTTTAATAACCTGGGGGTTTTGTGCTAGTTTATTATATATTGAACGTGTTCCATGTCTTTAAATATTTATTTGTTTTTACTTCATAATTTTAATGGTAATAAGTTAGTATTCGAGAAATTGTTTCACAAACAAACATTAATCCTGCCCCCTCCAGCCTCATCCCTCGTTTTCCCCATCTGCGCTCCATCCATCCCCAGGTCTCAGTTGTCTTATTTGTCTGAGAACCTCAGCCTGGGTCAGAGGCTCTTGTGATCCCTCTGCCAAAGCACTCTGTGCTTCTCCCTCTTGGGCCTTCACACACTTATGCTTATGCAAATAATTATTAATCATATTTTCATGATGGTGGAGATTCTTATTCACCACTACATCCCATCCCCAGGGCCTGCCACAGAATAGACATTCGGTAAATGTTTTTTGAATGATTGACAGAGAAATCACACCTCTTATAAACACATCCTGATTGCTCCGTAAGTTTCATCAGGGTCAGTGGTTCCATTGTCCTCACTGCTGGCCACACTGACCTGTTCTGTGCTTTATTTGACAAGACCCCTGAATGGTTGGACAGTGATTCCTGCCAAAAGTGTGATCAGCCTTTCTTCTGGAACTTCAAGCAAATGTGGGACAGTAAGAAAATTGGTCTAAGACAGGTGAGTGATATGGATGCTTCATCAAAATGTAATTGTTTGGAAATAGCTCAACCATGTGATCTTAGAAGAAATAACACCCCTGGGTGGGAGTTGTGGTGAGGGTAAATTATGATCCTGGAGTCACCTTGTGATTGCACAGTAATTTACTCTGTTTGTCTACCGTAGCTCATTCCTGCTGGATTCAGTTTCTGTAGTGGCTGGTTCCCAGTAAGCAGTTAGGGATGTGATGTTAGAATTCTAGTGGCCTCTGTTGCAATACACCTTACAATTAGAGGTGTCATGCTTAGTTCGTATGGATACCAGACCATGAAATTATATAAATTATATAAATGGTGTTTCTCTCTCCTTAATTATTTTACTTTCCCTCCTTCTGATTACGTTTGGTTATGTAGATCTACTTATAATACAGCATTCTCAATCTGAGTCCATGGTTCAGTTTGGTCTTCCCCAAGGAAATAAAATGTTAGGTCACCTAGGCTTACACCATGGCCAAAGTCAGCAGATTGAATCAGGTTTCCTGCATGTTCTCCTTCATCCAGCAGCATAATCTCCTGAGATGTCAGTTTCTCAGACACCCTGCTTTAAGATCACCTGGCCCCTGGGTGGTTCCTCTGTAGTTCCTAGTATGATCATTGGAAAGGACCAAGAGTAGGGAAAAGCAAGAGAGTGGGGAGGTGTCCCCATCAGGTGTGTTACCCAACAGTCCTTGTTGAATAAACAGAGCCCCAAAAAAGAACACATCTAGTGTGTTCCCTTTAGTTCTGAGGCACTCTTGTTCAGCATCCTCACCTGAATGCAGTTGATTACACCTCTCTCTGCCAGGAGGGGTGAGGTGCGGGGGCCTCAGGAGCCGAGGGAGCCATGATGAGTATCTATTTTCTCTCCCTCCTCCAGCACCACTGCCGCAAGTGTGGGAAGGCTGTCTGCGGCAAATGCAGCTCCAAGCGCTCCTCCATCCCCCTGATGGGCTTCGAGTTTGAAGTGAGGGTCTGTGACAGCTGCCACGAGGCCATCACAGATGAAGAGTAAGTTCCTGCAGCCTGAGGACCGCTTCAGGTTAAAGCGAGAGTCTAATCTGAGCCCTGCACTCAGCGCCGCAGCCATCACTCGGGTTGCTCTAGTTTCTGCTGGTTTAGAATATAGTCCATGGCGAGTAGTAAAAGCTCTCCTTTGCCACCGAGAGATGTGTGTTATCCTGTGAGACAGGAGAAGAGAAAATACACGCAAAGAATTCATCCCTGTGTTCTTTCTAATTTCTAGGTTATGTGCCTTTAAAATAGGTGCTCTCAGAACAAACCTCCTGTCTGCTCATTTACTTGAGAATTACCCAGGAGTATAAGGGCTCAGGATTCACTTTCTGTCCCAAGCTGGTATATTTACAGGAGTTGAGTGAGTCCATGGGTCCAGAAGATTTCATTTTCCGGGAAGAGCCAAGTCACTTTACCCAATAGGCAGATACTCCCAGTTGCCCAGTTGCTCAGCTGGCTGCTCGTCAGACCTGCCCAGTAACCCAGGATATACGTTACCACCCCTCAGTGTGCTGTGGAGGTGTGGGGGCAAATCTATGTTATCTCTTTAGTGTTGGCTCATTGAAAGCTGCCCCCAGATGTAAACACAGTGCTCCGCAGCATTTCGCTGATTTTAGTGACTTACAGGAGGATCTGCGGGTTAGCTTGTCTTCCCAATCCTCCCAGCACCTTGTATTACAGTAAAATCATAAGTAGTCTTATTTATCCATATCAAATATAAAATAAGATGCCCTTGCATAAGTATGCATTTATGTTCATTCATTATTTTCCACTCATCATACATGATGAAATTAGTAAGAGGGTTTTCTCATTGAATTAGAGAGGACAAGAGACCTTAGGGATAGTCTACTTTAATTCTTCATTTTCTAGCTAAAGACACAGACTTCAAGAGTCTAAAGGGCTTACAGTTAAGCCTAAATCTTCTAAAAATTTAAAGTAACCATTTTAAGTTACTGAAGATCTATCCTGCCAATTTAACTGTAGAAAAAAAAAGAAGAAAATTGTCCTGAGAGAGCCCACTGCAGTGAAGCGGGCCCCTTGAAGCATGATAAGAGCGCCGTCTCCTAGACTGCACCCTGCGCCTTTTCCCACCTCTGTTTCTTCTGCCTCTTCTCTGTGGAAGCACTCGCATTGCCTCTAGAGCACCTAGGCAGTTGACAAGCCTTCTGACTTAAAAAAAAAACAGTGTATGTTAAAAATCCAAAAATAATGATGTTTGTTTGTTATTTTGTTTTGCTTGTTACAGCTTTAGAATACTATATAAAAACCAAGTCTGCAGTCATACCAGTGAAAAAGGAAAAATGAATGGAGGGGGATAGTTCTCCAATTAGAACGACACTTAGTAATATCACGGGACACTTCGTACTATCTTGGTCCTTTTTTTTTTTTAATTAAATAGACTATTTTACTGGCAAGTCCTTCTGAGCTCAAACTTAGCAAAAGCACTATGGTTTTTAAAAGCTCGGGTGGAGATTATCGCAGACACCATCAGAGCAACATTCTCCAGAAGGACTTTTAGAAATTTTCATCTCTTTCCCATTTTAAAGACTACAAGAATTCTTGTAATTTTTTTTAATCATAACTGGTCACTAGGGAATAAAGTCAGATCTGAGGAACATTCCTATCAGTGAAGCAGTTTTAGCCATGAGGCCAAAATTTAGAGCCTAATGTCATCCTAGATATCTCTCATTCATATGTCACCACCTTTTTTTCTCAGAAGCTTTCTTTGCTTCTTCCAGACGTGCACCCACAGCCACCTTCCATGACAGTAAACATAACATTGTGCATGTGCATTTCGATGCAACCAGAGGATGGTTACTGACTTCTGGAACTGACAAGGTTATTAAGGTAAGACGCCATCTTATTAAGAAGCTTTCCGTCTTTGGCCTCATATAAATATACAGGAACACCAAGAACATGGGAGGCACTGCTCTAAAGGTTATCGTTGGGTGGCCAGCCATGATGTGTCTGTAGTCCCAGGTGCTCAAGAGATTGGGAGGGAGGATTGCTTGAGTCCAGGAGTTGAAGGCTACAGTGAGCTTTGATCACATCACTGCACCCTAGCCTGCGCAACAAAGCAAGACCTCATCTCTTTAAAAAAAAAAAAAAAAGTTAACCGTTGAAGGTGAGTGTTTTTGAGGACCTATTACAAACATGATACATGCACAGCCTCATCCCAGGCACTGGCTCTACACAAAGAATTAAGAGCTTCAGCCTGCAAGGAATAGTCTACTTGGGACAGACTAAAAAGACTGTAATAGGTTACATGTGTAGCAGTCAAAACAGTAATACAGATGAGAATTTATAGCGCACTGAGCTCTACCTCCCTGACCCATTCTTGGGGGTCACAGCAGGATGAGATAGCTAAAATAACCCACTTTGGAAGCTACCAGATCTCCATGATTTTGAGAGGAAGTTTAAAATAAACTCTGGGGCTGGGTGTGATGGCTCACGCCTATAATCCCAGCACTTTGGGAGATGAGACTGAGGATCGCTTGACCCCCGGAGTTCAAGACCAGCCTGGCCACCATAGTGAGACCCTGTCTTAACAAAAAATTAAAAAATTAGCCAGATGTGATGGTGCCTGCCTGTAGTCCCAGCTACTCGGGAGGCTGAGGTGCAAGAATTACTTGAGTCCAGTAAGTTGAGGCTGCGGTGAGCCTTGATTGTGCCACTGCAGTCCAGCCTGGATGACGGAGCAAGACCCTGTCTCAAAATAATTAATTAATTAATTAAAATAAGATAAACTCTGGCAGCCTCAGGTCCTTTATTTTTGAAAACGAGGTATCTTGTAAAATGGTTTGGAAGTTTAAATGGAAAGGACACAGCACGTGCTTAGTGTCCCGTTAATGGATTGAGTTATTTAATGGATTCAATCTATTTGGAGGGTGGGACAGATCTATATTGTCTCTTTCATGTTGGCTCATCGAAAGCTGTCTCAGATGTCAACACAGTGCTCTGCAGTGTTTCCCTTTTAGTGACTCACAGGAGGATCTGCAGGGCAGCTTGTCTTCCCAGTCCTCTCAGCCATTAATAGATTGAATCTGCCGTTATTCTTCATTAGCTACATCAAAATTTCAAGCTGTCATTGTCATGTTTTTGAGCTTTATTTGAACTTTTTTGATGAAAAAAAATTTATAGATTTAGAAATCATGTTAGTATAGTATGTGGTTGTTTGTTAAATGAAAAAAATTTCCTTGAAGAATTTAGTTCTAAGGACTGTTATCCTCAACACAATTTAATTTTAGTTCATTCTGTATCTTTTCCTATTTGCAGTTGTGGGATATGACCCCAGTCGTGTCTTGATGACTCTCCCAGGAATCAGAAAGATAGTATTTACTAAAGAAATGGTTGTTTTAATCCAAGTCATTACCAGAGTGGTAAAGCAGACATGTGAGAAGTAAGAAAGAAACTAAAGACCCTGGATGAATTTGCAGATGACCCATGCGCACAGTGGGGACCCGGCGAGTGAGAACTTGCAAGGGGACTCTTCCAACTTGTTCATACAATATAAAAGAAGCTATTTTTTTAACAAATGGTTTATACAGTCTGGCTGTGCTGCATTGTTTTGAGTATACCGAAAAATCTGTGTGGGGTGTTTAATTTTATACTTTCCACACCCCATTTTATGTGTTGCTTTGTGTGTCAGAGAAATAAGGGAAGTATCCACTCAGAGTATTTTGGTCATTATAGTTTCTGTATTTTCTTTACTTCAACATGTGTCACATGGCCAGCGGCTTTTTGTTCTCTCCCCTCTGCACCTACCTGCACCTCTCTGCCTTTCCTGAAGGGGATGTATTTACATTATTTATTCCCAGTGTTTCTGCTTTCATGTCCTCCTCAGTGGAGAGATTCGGAAACTCATCATGTGGATTCACCAGCCAGCTGCTGGAATCGCCTGAAGAGCGATTTGTTTGTAATGTCTGCCTCATTCACGTTCTTATTGAGTAGAAAAGACTGTGTTTCTGCCTCAGTTGCCTCTGTATTTCCCGCATTTAAAAAAAAAAAAAAAATGCTGTGAGAAAGCTGCTCCCAACCATGGTTATCACAGAAGTAGATTATTTTAACTCAGAGCTTCAACGATTAGTGCCTGATCATTTAGAATTCAGTTGGAGCCTCCCGAGCCTCATGTTTTAGCTTTTTTGACACAGCTCTCCCTCACTCATAACAATGAAAACAAACGACACACACACACAAAATCCTACATCAGTGGTCCTCAACCTTGTTGGCAGCAGGGACCGGTTTCAAAATGAAACTGTTCCACCTCAGATCAGCAGGCACTAGCCTCTCACAAGGAGCATGCAACCTAGATCCCTCGCATGCGCCGTTCACAATACGGTTCGTGCTCCTATGAGAATCTAACGCCACCGCTGATCTGATGGGAGGCGGAGCCCAGGCAGTAGTGCTTGCTTGCCTGCTGCTCACTTCTGATGGGTGCCCCCCATTCCTCACAGGCCATGGATGGGTACCCACCTGCAGCCCGGGGTTGGGGAGCCCCACCATACATGCTCTGAAAATAAGTGTCTTTAAATCGTGTGTTTCTGTGTGACATCATCTCTGAACTTGAACATGTTCATTACGGCAGGATTGTAATCCTGCTGTATTCCTCACCCTCTGTATTCTATCCCTTTAAAAACTAGATATTTAAACATTTTATCTTAATGTGTTTCATCAGAACACTTTGCACACTTTCTTACTAAAACGGTATGTGGTTGATCCGAGACAGAATGGTACCTACAGTGCAGGCTGTGTTCCTATGGGAATGGAAAAGAGGACTTTAGAAAGCGAACCTGAAGAACTCTTATTTCTAAGGGAATCCAATCAAGCTTGAGAAAATGAAATATTCTTGTGTGTAGTGACTCAACTCAGGATACTGAAGTCCCTTTTAAACATCTTATTTTCCCCTGTAAAAATAGAATAAAAATTAATGGCAAGCCTGCGCCAGGTGCCTACCCCTCCTAAGCACTTTACACGCACAGTTCATTCAACCTCACATGTCGGGAGCATCAGGGAGCTCGCCAGTCTCTTGAGGATCACAGGCCAATTGCTTGTCCTTCCCGACCCAAGCCCCACCCCACAGTGTCTTGCTGTCTTCTGATTCTACAGGTTTTTTTGGTGGTGATACATAACGGGAGTGAAATCGAAATCCTCCCTATTATTTTCCCTCTTTTCCTGGAGAGCCGTTTTTTGCCCTCACAATCATTCATTACTTCTCTAACTAGGGGGAAGTACTACAAGCCATCCTCGGGCACTGCCCCTATGTGTGCTTCCCGGGGGTGGGGCCTTGCTAGAGGTGATTCTGCTGCCCTAGCATTGGGAAGCAGGACCAGTGCATGTGTCCCATGCAGCCATGGTACATGGAAGCTGTCACCTGAGCCATCGGCCCAGCGCAGCCCATGTGACCGGAGCTCTGAAGAGGCACACGCATGCCCTGCACAGGCTATTAGCACTTGTCGCTTCGCTGTCCTGCTCCACACTACCCTTGCTTGCATCAGTCAAAACTGTTATAACTACTTGGAGTCTTTTCTGCATGATTGCTCTGTGAGAGAGCTTTAACAAGGGAATTAAATTTAAAATACTCAAATATCTATTTTGTAGTTTATTACTAGAACCTGCAGCCACTTACTAAGTTGTATGTAATAGAGGACTGTGTGTTGGAAATGAGTAATAGACATGAGTCACTCCATTTTCCCTTCCTAAACTTTGGCCTGCCTACAGAGAGAGGAAAACAGTATTAGGGCAGCAAAGGCCCAGGCGCCCAGCAAGCTCTGTGGGTTCTGAGATAGGTCTAGATGGCTTCAGACCTTATTCGGGAAGCAGAGTATCCCCGTCAGATCACATATGTCCTCTACAGTCGCTCTGGCCTGTGGCCTTGCATGCCACTCTACTGTCTTCCTCCCAGCCCACAGAGCCACTAGAGGCTGAAGCCACTTCACATCTCACTGGTGTTGAAAATCATGATCAGAAAACCACAGATATGTCAAGGTATCTATTGCTCTTCCCTTTTCTCTCATCTGTATGGGTGCTTGAATTTGATGAAATGTGTTTAGCAAACCAACTGTGTGTTTGTAATACTGTGAATTCTTGAGTTTTGCATTAAGTGTCTCCCCCATTTTTGTAATTTGTAGAGAAATATGTGCTGGTGTTGGGTGTCTTCCAAGCATTTTAGGGAAATGGAGGCTCCATTCCTTAGGAGTGAAAGCTGGCGCCACTACTTGGCTTTTGTTCTGTCTAGGTGAACTCTCATAATTCTTGTTTTACCCTGTTGGATTTGCACTTTACATATATTTTTGCTCTGTTGCTTAAACATATAGCAGCTCTTGCAAATAATGCCTAACTTGCCTGCGTTGAGAAAGTGGCAGATCTACACATATCATATGCAGAGTTCTCTAGCTGGTGGGACAAAACCAACCACATGCTCTTAGTTCCTCCAAACGAATGACATTACTTGACATTACTGCCTGAGTGTGTCTTCACAATAGCAAAATGGTTTGAGATTAAACATTTGGAATCTTATATCATTTTGTATGAGGTCAATCCACCATAATGTGTTTCTCATTTGATTGTTTTAATTATTCCAGAAATCATAAAGTCACAAAACTGGAAGGCATCTTCAGAGATCTAGAGTGTTCCAAGCAGAAAACACATTAGTTATACGGGGCAGTTAGATATGACTGAGACGTAAACAAGAGAAAAGAATGTTTAAGGAGTAGCTGTTCTTGAACATTACTTAGTAATGGCATGAGTGGGAGGAGAGACTTTCAGCGCCTTGAGACAGGGCGCTGTCTGGAACCAGCTTTGTTCCTCTTATCAGAAGCATATATGACACTTTTTTTGGCTACAGCCCTGTGGTGGGGGAGGTAATTATTGCCTTCATCCACATAAATTCCTTCCTATACATTCCCCTCAAACCACCCCAGAGGCAAAACTGAAATGGAAATCCAGGGGCACTTAAAATTCACCCTACCCCATTTGGCTGTGATTCCCAGGCTTACAGCACTGCCCTTATGGAATATCACATTTTCATTTTCTGAGATTCATTTTATAAAATATAGGCCAGGTGCCATGGCTCACATCTATAATCTGAACACTTTGGGAGGACGAGGCGGGAGGATCGCTGAGCCCAAGAGTTCAAGACCAGCCTGGGCAACACAGCAAGACCTGTCGCTACCAAAAATGTAAAACTTAGTTGGGTCTGGTGGCACACACCTGTATTGCCAGCTACTCAGGAAGCTGAAGCAGGAAGATCACTTGAGCCCAGGAATTCAAGGATGCAGTGAGCTATGATTGCACTACTGCAGTCTAGCCTGGGCAGCAGAGCAAGGCCCTGAATAAAGTATAATTTATTTTTGACTGATATTAATCACTTCTTAAGGCCCAAATTTTTGTTTTTAAGCAAAAGGATAGCTCTAAGCATGGGTCACAGTTACTGGACACAAATATTCACTAAATGAGATTCCTCTGGTTATGGCTATTCATAGAATTTTAATTCTAGGTAAGTGTTCTTGTTCACTAAGATACTTCGAAGTGAAAGAAAGCATTTTACCAATACATTCTTATTTTTTCTCCTTTAAAATACTACTGAATTTTTCCTGGTATGAAGACAGATATTTATTAACTGGATTGGAAAACACAGAAGTTAAGTTCCTGTTGAACACTGAGTTCTCTAGATGATCCCTGAGATTTGAATGTTCATGTCAACGTGTTGAGCGCTCACCAGCCACCAGGCTTTAGGCACTGGCGGTGCAAGCTGTCTGCAGCCCATTCTCAGGCTGGGCAGAGGTCACACAGTGAGTAAATGGGTCTTTTCAGTGCAATGTGGTCATAATAGAGGCATGCCAGGGTGCCACTAACCCAGCAGGTGTGGCAGGAGGGGCTTCACAGAGGAAAGGACTTTGAGCTCAGTGTTAAAGGATGAGGAGTGAGTCATAAGGGGGAAAAATGGAAATGACTTTCCAGGCTTCAGAAACAGCATAAACAAAGGCCTGAGAGCTGGAGTCAGTGTGGTGTGTCCAGGGATCACAAGTGGGCTGGAGCTGCCGGAGAACAGCCAAGTAACTCAGCTGCATCCCGGAACCGAGCTTGTTGCTATCAGATGCTGTTGCTCCCTGGCCTCAGAGGAAAGCAGCACACGGCTCACTGCGAGGGGTTTCCCCAGAGGCTCCTCCTGCAGCCAACGCTACTATTAGTTTATATTATAATAGTATCAGTTTCTTTTTCTTTGGAAATCCCTAGAACTGTTATCTGGAAGTGACCCAGGGTAACTAATTCTGGATCTTTGGGTGCACAGCCTCTCACTGGAGTCTGGGAGGAGAAGGTGGAGCCTATGAGTGCACGGCCTGCTACCAGGAAGGACTCACAGACTAACACCAAAGGTGTGCTGGGCTCAGCTGCTCCACTTTGGAAAAGGAAAGCCCTGGACCTGTGGCAAGAGGGGATTGTTCTAGTCCAGTGTGGCATTGCACAGATAGGCGGGGCCAAGTGTTTGGGTGCAGACGCAGGCAGCTGCTGCCCTCCACTTTCTGCTCTTGCAAGTCGCAGATGATTCCAGTACAATGTGGGGGATCCTCCTTACAGGGGCACTTGCAAGGGGAAGGCAGAGTTTTGTCAATTCAGCTACAGGTCTGTCTGGGAGACCTGGCCCTGTGGAGGCAGGAACACCACGCAGGGGGATGGCAGCGCCTGTCTTTGCTATCACATCATTTGCCTTTTCCTTGTAGGACCCAAAGATCTATGTCCAAAACTGAGTCCAGAAACATCTGTGTTCCTGTTAAAACTTCAGCTCAGCTTCTTAACCAGGAATCACATGTCAGCCCTCCAGGGTTGTGGTTTGGATTTTTGCCTTTAAACATTATCTCCTTTCCACCAAGAAGCCTACTTAGCTTTAGCACATGAAAGCAGTGTCTATACATTAGACCAGTCCCAAATTGGAATGGGATATCTTCCTTGCACGTCCCATACCAGGGAATTTTTTTAAGAGCATAGAGCCTTTGCCAGAGATGTTGAAAGGGAGATTAAAGGCTTGAGTGAGGGATGAATTTGATCATCATTCTTAAGGTCCCTTCCAATCCTGTGATTCTACGATTCCACGAGTCTCGTTTATTATTGGGCGTGCCTAATCCATCACCAGTGAGCTGCCCACATGTTGCTGGCTTCCCTTGGATACAGGAGGGTCTATCACCACATGCCTTTGTTGTCTTCCATCATATCAAGTGAGTTACTTTCTGGACTTTTTCCATCTACAGCCTACTAGGTTTGGTTTTGGGAAAAGATGGTAAAGTTTCTTTTCATGAGGTTGTAGGGGAAAAATGTTTTTTAAGATGGTAAGTGTGGAAATTAATTATGGTACCACCTCACTAAAAACAGATACCTCAAAATGTTTACCTTTACCAGTCAGGAAGAGTATCTGACTTTCTTGGAAGTGTCAGGAATTACAGGTTGGCTGAAAAGTTAGATTGAGAATCTGACCTTGATACTTACGATTCTTTTTTCCCTTGGTTCTCGGGGATGCATGAAAAGGTGAGCTGTCACTCACACAAAAGGGGAAAATGCTTTGAAAAATATGTTTCACATATACACTCTCTTTTATCATTTTAGTGGATGGCAGCCTTACATCAGCAGTATATGCCAGTATGACATATGGACCAAAACACTAGTGTCACTTGAAACCATTGTACTCTTATGGATTTGTGTCTTATACCATTTGCCTTGCTTTTTACATGACTTTGTTTTTCAAGGTACTGTCATTTTGCAAAATACATGAAATGTACAAAAACTGTTACTAACTGGACAACAGGGAAGGTGCTGGCCCCACATTAGTGCCTGCCTACCACTCTACTTCTAACCAGGGACACGGATCTTCCATTCTCTACATCCACCAGGCTGCAGCCCACATCTGGACCTGGCTGCAGTGGGCATGTTGCCGTATGGCTATCTTTTTCTTTCTTTTTCTGAAGTGAGATTATTCGGGGGGGTCAGGCTGAGAATGTAATAAGCCCGACGTTGGAACAGATTTCTCCCGTGTGGTCTAGCTGGACCCCTCCAGCATTTACCACGCTCCCTGCCGGTCCTGACACTGACTTCCTGAATGGGATTAGGTGGCAATGAGCAAGAATTTCCTAGGATGTTGAAATGTCTGTATCCAGGCCTCCATTCAAATGCTGCTGAATATTGTGAATGTTTTTTACTCTGCTCACTTTCCCACTGTGCTTCCCTCTAACCAAAATATACGTGTATACATTACCAATGTACAACTCTCAATGCAGAGTTGCCTCCATGGTTTAAAATAAATCTCTGTGAAAACCTTTCTGCAGCTGTGGTCCCATCACTGTTACATGTGGCCACACACACGCACCCCGACAGCCTTGCTGTGCTGTTTAGCCCTGTGGGTTCTGTCCAGTTGGTGGGAGGGGGAGGTTCCAGACCACTCCACCTGCTGTCTAGACGCCAGGGAGAGCTGCTGTTTGGAGGTGACGATGAGCCCCGTTCACCACAGTCTAAGTACAGCACACGGGCTCAGGCCATGGAGCTCTTTTTCTTTATCATGTAAGTCGGCTTTTTCCTGTGTTTAGTAAACTTTCCAAATGAGGAGAAATGACTTCGGGGCAAACACTGCCAGGGAAAGCCTCTTTTAAAACTTGTAAGGTTCATTTTATGGAGAAGAAAAATCGGTGCAAAGGCACCGAGTGACCTGCATGCTATGGAATCAGGGTTGAAAGAGTGGCTGGGCTGTCCCGTCCCGGTGTTCGCCCAGCACAGCCTCGCCCACACCCAGCATTGCTGAGGCCCCTCATCCTCCTGCAGAAAAGGAGGCATGAGTCAAATGGAGCTGGTGCTTGCTTGATGGTGCCTCCTTTTGTCAGAAAGATGCTGATGTTTCAGGCTGGCACACCCAGAAAAATCCCTTCCTTGTGGCCCTTGGCTGATGAGCCCTGGATCAGTGTCTCAAGGACCACTGAGAAGCTGCAGCCGTCTGGGTTCTCCTCTGCTGTGGGGCCTGAGTTATGTTGATTCCACCATGGACACGAAGAATGTATGTAGATGTATTCTAAATCTGCTCATTGGTTTTATTGCAACTTTTCCTGGAGTCACTAAGAGGTAAAATGGTGTAAATTAGAGGTTTCATCAAAGTGTAGTACCAGAATGCCACATGCATTACTGAAGCCACTCCTAGTCTTAAGCAAATGCAAACTAGGCCTCATTCAATTGTGTATGTAAATATGCAGCATCCGTTGGTTACATTTGTGCTCCTGGGACCATGCACAGCAAAGGCAGTGTCCAGCCCTCTCCTGGGGTGGGGGGTGGGGGGGCCCAGCACCAGCCTCTGACACTGGAGGAGCTGAGAAAGGGAGGGGAAGTGGAGTCCACAGCGGGGCATTCCTGCTGCCTCCAACCCTGGGTCCCCTCAGACTGGCAATGGTGGTTCATCTCGAACTTCGAATTCTTTAGAAAACCACATTCTGGAATAAATGAGAGACTTAAGAACCTGCTGCAGGAGTCACGGCCAGCCTGATCACAGCCCCGGTAGTATTTATTTTGAAATAAAAGTTCCCAGCCCTTGTAGGCCCCTCACTGTAAGGCACAACGTCTTTGAGGGGAAGTTGAAGTGAGGTCTTGTTCACTGGCCCCTAGACCACACCTGGTATTTTCTAAGGCAATTCTGGTACCACACTGTGCCTCAGTTGGTCTATTTAAATGTCTGAGCCAGCTGCTCTAGGATTTCAATGAGTGTCTCCTCTTCGGCTGGTGAGGAGGACGTTCTAGTGAGAGGCAAGTGTGTGGAAACTGGCTTCCAATCTAAAAGTGAGAAGGAACAGCAGAGAGGTGTGAGCTGCCGCAGCATGGCTGGGTCCATGTCCCTGTGCTGCTCAGGCCTTGAACTGATGCCTGCTGGCGTGGCGGCGCCCCACGGGTGTTAGACCCCATCCCTGCCTTCAAAGGTCCCCCACGGATTAGGCAGCATGGATTGATATGTAAAGTGCAGTTCAGTAACTGGGAGGCTGCAGCCAGGGCTGGACGGGAGACCATATTTGGGTGATCAGCGGGAAGGGGCACGGCTATCCTCCTGGATATCCCAGGGGTCACCAGCGCTTCAGAATTCCTCAAGCAAGGGTGGTTCTCATCAAGAACAGAGGAAAGAGAAGCAGAGCAAAGAGCCTGGCTTCTACCCAAGGTAAAGTGCTGTCTTCGGATGGCATCCACTCACATGCCTGCCCCCTTAGGCACCCATTGGGAAGAGACGTGAACAGAGCACTGCTTCCAAAAATAGAAAAACCGAGTCCGGGGGGGCGGAGCAAGATGGCCGAATAGGAACAGCTCCAGTCTCCAACTCCCAGCGCGAGCGACACAGAAGACCGGTGATTTCTGCATTTTCAACTGAGGTACTGGGTTCATCTCACTGGGGAGTGCTGGACGATCGGTGCTGGTCAGCTGCTGCAGCCCGACCAGCGAGAGCTGAAGCAGGGCGAGGCATTGCCTCACCTGGGAAGCGCAAGGGGGAAGGGAATCCCTTTTCCTAGCCAGGGGAACTGAGACACACAACACCTGGAAAATCGGGTAACTCCCACCCCAATACTGCGCTTTAAGCAAACAGGCACACCAGGAGATCATATCCCACACCTGGCCGGGAGGGTCCACACCCACGAGCCTCCCTCATTGCTAGCACAGCAGTCTGTGATCTACCGGCAAGGCAGCAGCGAGGCTGGGGAAGGGGCGCCCGCCATTGCTGAGGCTTAAGTAGGTAAACAAAGCTGCTGGGAAGCTCGAACTGGGTGGAGCTCACAGCAGCTCAAGGAAACCTGCCTGTCTCTGTAGACTCCACCTCTGGGGACAGGGCACAGTAAACAATAACAAACGCAGCAGAAACCTCTGCAGACGCAAATGACTCTGTCTGACAGCTTTGAAGAGAGCAGTGGATCTCCCAACACGGAGGTTGAGATCTGAGAAGGGATAGACTCCCTGCTCAAGTGGGTCCCTGACCCCTGAGTAGCCTAACTGGGAGACATCCCCCACTAGGGGCAGTCTGAACCCCACACCTCACAGGGTGGAGTACACCCCTGAGAGGAAGCTTCCAAAGCAAGAATCAGACAGGTACCCTCGCTGTTCAGCAATATTCTATCTTCTGCAGCCTCTGCTGCTGATACCCAGGCAAACAGAGTCTGGAGTGGACCTCAAGCAATCTCCAACAGACCTACAGCTGAGGGTCCTGACTGTTAGAAGGAAAACTATCAAACAGGAAGGACACCTACACCAAAGCCTCATCAGTACATCACCATCATCAAAGACCAGAGGCAGATAAAACCACAAAGATGGGGAAAAAGCAGGGCAGAAAAGCTGGAAATTCAAAAAATAAGAGCGCATCTCCCCCGCAAAGGAGCGCAGCTCATCGCCAGCAACGGATCAAAGCTGGACGGAGAATGACTTTGACAAGATGAGAGAAGAAGGCTTCAGTCCATCAAATTTCTCAGAGCTAAAGGAGGAATTACGTACCCAGCGCAAAGAAACTAAAAATCTTGAAAAAAAAGTGGAAGAATTGATGGCTAGAGTAATTAATGCAGAGAAGGTCATAAACGAAATGAAAGAGATGAAAACCATGACACGAGAAATACGTGACAAATGCACAAGCTTCAGTAACCGACTCGATCAACTGGAAGAAAGAGTATCAGCGATTGAGGATCAAATGAATGAAATGAAGCGAGAAGAGAAACCAAAAGAAAAAAGAAGAAAAAGAAATGAACAAAGCCTGCAAGAAGTATGGGATTATGTAAAAAGACCAAATCTATGTCTGATTGGGGTGCCTGAAATGAGGGGGAAAATGGAACCAAGTTGGAAAACACTCTTCAGGATATCATCCAGGAGAACTTCCCCAACCTAGTAGGGCAGGCCAACATTCAAATCCAGGAAATACAGAGAACGCCACAAAGACACTCCTCGAGAAGAGCAACTCCAAGACACATAATTGCCAGATTCACCAAAGTTGAAATGAAGGAAAAATCTTAAGGGCAGCCAGAGAGAAAGGTCGGGTTACCCACAAAGGGAAGCCCATCAGACTAACAGCAGATCTCTCAGCAGAAACTCTACAAGCCAGAAGAGAGTGGGGGCCAATATTCAACATTCTTAAAGAAAAGAATTTTAAACCCAGAATTTCATATCCAGCCAATCTAAGTTTCATAAGTGAAGGAGAAATAAAATCCTTTACAGATAAGCAAATGCTTAGAGATTTTGTCACCACTAGGCCTGCCTTACAAGAGACCCTGAAGGAAGCACTAAACATGGAAAGGAACAACCGGTACCAGCCATTGCAAAAACATGCCAAAATGTAAAGACCATCGAGGCTAGGAAGAAACTGCATTAACTAACGAGCAAAACAACCAGTTAATATCATAATGGCAGGATCAAGTTCACACATAACAATCTTAACCTTAAATGTAAATGGACTAAATGCTCCAATTAAAAGACACAGACTGGCAAACTGGATAAAGAGTCAAGACCCATCAGTCTGCTATATTCAGGAGACCCATCTCACACGCAGAGACATACATAGGCTCAAAATAAAGGGATGGAGGAAGATTTACCAAGCAAATGGAGAACAAAAAAAAGCGGGGGTTGCAATACTAGTCTCTGATAAAACAGACTTTAAACCATCAAAGATCAAAAGAGACAAAGAAGGCCATTACATAATGGTAAAGGGATCAATTCAACAGGAAGAGCTAACTATCCTAAATATATATGCACCCAATACAGGAGCACCCAGATTCATCAAGCAAGTCCTTAGAGACTTACGAAGAGACTTAGACTCCCATACAATAATAATGGGAGACTTCAACACTCCACTGTCAACATTAGACAGATCAACGAGACAGAAAGTTAACAAGGATATCCAGGAATTGAACTCGTCTCTGCAGCAAGCAGACCTAATAGACATCTATAGAACTCTCCACCCCAAATCAACAGAATATACATTCTTCTCAGCACCACATCGTACTTACTCCAAAATTGACCACGTAATTGGAAGTAAAGCACTCCTCAGCAAATGTACAAGAACAGAAATTATAACAAACTGTCTCTCAGACCACAGTGCAATCAAACTAGAACTCAGGACTAAGAAAATCAAAACCGCTCAACTACATGGAAACTGAACAACCTGCTCCTGAATGACTACTGGGTACATAACGAAATGAAGGCAGAAATAAAGATGTTCTTTGAAACCAATGAGAACAAAGATACAACATACCAGAATCTCTGGGACACATTTAAAGCAGTGTGTAGAGGGAAATTTATAGCACTAAATGCCCACAAGAGAAAGCAGGAAAGATCTAAAATTGACACTCTAACATCGCAATTAAAAGAACTAGAGAAGCAAGAGCAAACACATTCGGAAGCTAGCAGAAGGCAAGAAATAACTAAGATCAGAGCAGAACTGAAGGAGATAGAGACACAAAAAACCCTCCAAAAAATCAATGAATCCAGGAGTTGGTTTTTTGAAAAGATCAACAAAATTGACAGATCACTAGCAAGACTAATAAAGAAGAAAAGAGAGGAGAATCAAATCGACGCAATTAAAAATGATAAAGGGGATATCACCACCGACCCCACAGAAATATAAACTACCATCAGAGAATACTATAAACACCTCTACGCAAATAAACTGGAAAATCTAGAAGAAATAGATAATTTCCTGGACACTTACACTCTTCCAAGAGTAAACCAGGAATAAGTTGAATCCCTGAATAGACCAATAGCAGGCTCTGAAATTGAGGCAATAATTAATAGCCTACCAACCAAAAAAAGTCCAGGACCAGGTGGATTCACAGCTGAATTCTACCAGAGGTACAAGGAGGAGTTGGTACCATTCCTTCTGAAACTATTCCAATCAATAGAAAAAGAGGGAATCCTCCCTAACTCATTTTATGAGGCCAACATCATCCTGATACCAAAGCCTGGCAGAGACACAACAAAAAAAGAGAATTTTAGACCAATATCCCTGATGAACATCGATGCAAAAATCCTCAATAAAATACTGGCAAACCGGATTCAGCAACACATCAAAAAGCTTATCCACCATGATCAAGTGGGCTTCATCCCTGGGATGCAAGGCTGGTTCAACATTCGCAAATCAATAAACATAATCCAGCATATAAACAGAACCAAAGACAAGAACCACATGATTATCTCAATAGATGCAGAAAAGGCTTTTGACAAAATTCAACAGCCCTTCATGCTAAAAACGCTCAATAAATTCGGTATTGATGGAACGTACCTCAAAATAATAAGAGCTATTTATGACAAACCCACAGTCAATATCATACTGAATGGGCAAAAACTGGAAAAATTCCCTTTGAAAACTGGCACAAGACAGGGATGCCCTCTCTCACCACTCCTATTCAACATAGTGTTGGAAGTTCTGGCTAGGGCAATTAGGCAAGAGAAAGAAATCAAGGGTATTCAGTTAGAAAAAGAAGAAATCAAATTGTCCCTCTTTGCAGATGACATGATTGTATATTTAGAAAACCCCATTGTCTCAGCCCAAAATCTCCTTAAGCTGATAAGCAACTTCAGCAAAGTCTCAGGATACAAAATTAATGTGCAAAAATCACAAGCATTCTTATACACCAGTAACACACAAACACAGAGCCAAATCAGGAATGAACTTCCATTCACAATTGCTTCAAAGAGAATAAAATACCTAGGAATCCAACTTACAAGGAATGTAAAGGACCTCTTCAAGGAGAACTACAAACCACTGCTCAGCGAAATAAAAGAGGACACAAACAAATGGAAGAACATACCATGCTCATGGATAGGAAGAATTAATATCGTGAAAATGGCCATACTGCCCAAGGTAATTTATAGATTCAATGCCATCCCCATCAAGCTACCAATTACTTTCTTCACAGAATTGGAAAAAACTGCTTTAAAGTTCATATGGAACCAAAAAAGAGCCCGCATCTCCAAGACAATCCTAAGTCAAAAGAACAAAGCTGGAGGCATCACGCTACCTGACTTCAAACTATACTACAAGGCTACAGTAACCAAAACAGCATGGTACTGGTACCAAAACAGAGATCTAGACCAATGGAACAGAACAGAGTCCTCAGAAATAATACCACACATCTACAGCCATCTGATCTTTGACAAACCTGAGAGAAACAAGAAATGGGGAAAGGATTCCCTATTTAATAAATGGTGCTGGGAAAATTGGCTAGCCATAAGTAGAAAGCTGAAACTGGATCCTTTCCTTACTCCTTATACGAAAATTAATTCAAGATGGATTAGAGACTTAAATGTTAGACCTAATACCATAAAAATCCTAGAGGAAAACCTAGGTAGTACCATTCAGGACATAGGCATGGGCAAAGACTTCATGTCTAAAACACCAAAACAACAGCAGCAAAAGCCAAAATTGACAAATGGGATCTAATTAAACTAAAGAGCTTCTGCACAGCAAAAGAAACTACCATCAGAGTGAACAGGCAACCTACAGAATGGGAGAAAATTTTTGCAATCTACTCATCTGACAAAGGGCTAATATCCAGAACCTACAAAGAACTCAAACAAATTTACAAGAAAAAAACAAACAACCCCATCAAAAAGTGGGCAAAGGATATGAACAGACATTTCTCAAAAGAAGACATTCATACAGCCAATAGACACATGAAAAAATGCTCATCATCACTGGCCATCAGAGAAATGCAAATCAAAACCACAATGAGATACCATCTCACACCAGTTAGAATGGCGATCATTAAAAAGTCAGGAAACAACAGGTGCTGGAGAGGATGTGGAGAAATAGGAACACTTTTACACTGTTGGTGGGATTGTAAACTAGTTCAACCATTATGGAAAACAGTATGGCGATTCCTCAAGGATCTAGAACTAGATGTACCATATGACCCAGCCATCCCATTACTGGGTATATACCCAAAGGATTATAAATCATGCTGCTATAAAGACACATGCACACGTATGTTTATTGCGGCACTATTCACAATAGCAAAGACTTGGAATCAACCCAAATGTCCATCAGTGACAGATTGGATTAAGAAAATGTGGCACATATACACCATGGAATACTATGCAGCCATTAAAAAAAGGATGAGTTTGTGTCCTTTGTAGGGACATGGATGCAGCTGGAAACCATCATTCTTAGCAAACTATCACAAGAACAGAAAACCAAACACCGCATGTTCTCACTCATAGGTGGGAACTGAACAATGAGATCACTTGGACTCAGGAAGGGGAACATCACACACCGGGGCCTATCATGGGGAGGGGGGAGTGGGGAGGGATTGCATTGGGAGTTATACCTGATGTAAATGACGAGTTGATGGGTGCAGCACAGCAACATGGCACAAGTATACATATGTAACAAACTTGCACATTATGCACATGTACCCTACAACTTAAAGTATAATAATAATAAATAAATTTAAAAAAAAAAGAAAAAGAAAAACCGAGTCCGTCACTCCCTGTGCAGTGCAGAGAAGCAGAGTCCGTTACTCCCTTTGCACTGCCGCTTTGAATAGCGCCCCTCCCTGGCCTCAGGAAACCGCAGAGAAAATCTCCCATTCCCAAGGTAGGAACTGCCTCTCCCCTGTTCCCATGGGACCTTGATGACAGGGTTATCACAAGTCTTCAAAGAAGCTACCAATCCGGGGTGAAGCACTTCCCAAAACTAACCTCAGCAGGCAAAGCAATCATCTCGCCAAAGAAGCCCAGGCACCGCCCAGGGGACAGTCCCATCCCAGGTTTCACGGAAGGGAAGGTGCACCTCGAAGGCCCAGCTGCTGCCCCCAGCCCTGTGTCAGCTGCCTTCACAGCCAGGGAGGAAGTCACCTTGAAAGAAGCGGCTGCTGGGCTGCGCGGCTGCGGCAGAGGAGAGGGCCAGCCACAGCACCGTGTCGGCGCCCTGGGCCTCGGAGCGCAGGCGGTCCCTGAACCTGACGTGGAATCCCAGCATGCATCGCGTGCCTCACACCTGGGAGAAGGAAGGGGCAGGCAGATTAGGACAACATTCTCCAGCAAATGTGGTTGACTTCCCTTAATACAAAAAAAAAAAAAAGTGTAAAAATGAAATGGAATCATAAACTGCTGTATTTGATAATAGCACTCACCCAAGCCACTCGGAACCAATTCCAAAGAACCTCGTTACAAAGCCCCCAAGGTGTCATCTGATGGAAAGTGCTGCTCACCGGAGCCTGATTGAGTCCCCATGTCCCCGGGGCACCAGCACCCAGCCCAGCCCCGAGAGCACAGTCGCCCGCAGAGCCCCCCTTTCCATCCTGAGAGGATTCTAATGAGCTGCGAGGCTCACCGTGAGGCTGGGCCGAGCAAACCACTCAGCCTCCTGGGTTCAGGAGCCCTCTCAAATCATCCTAGGCTCGAGGATCCTGACTGTTGGTTCCTTGGACTGTTTTAGTATTTTCCTCTTTCTAGGGAGGAGTAGATAAGAGGAAAGAATTCTTCACTTCCTCTGCCAAGCCCCTCGAGGTGTCCCACCCTCTGCATCCCAGGGCTACAGGGAGGTGTTTGCCTGGAGTAGCCTCCGTGGCCTGTGCCGCTGGTGGCCCTGCATCGGCCGCTCTACCTGCCCACGCCTTCGAGGACCCAGCCACACGCTCTGGCTCCAGTCCACACCCCATTTTCCCACAGACCTCAGGGAACACAGTGTCTCCACAGTGAGCACATTGGGAAACAAAATAGTTCTCTCTCGAAGCCAAGGAAAGAAAATAAACCACAGAAAACAACAATTAAGAGCTGTACCGAGATCCTGGAATTGTAGAGCTAGAAAGATCACCTAAGCAAAAGCACTCCTTTTTTAAATTAAAAATAAACATCTTTTTTTCTTTTCACAGAAGCAATACTTGTTTATTGTAGAAAAATCAGGATAAACCGATAGGCAAAAAGAAAAAATTTGAAAACCTTGTGGTGTGTCACTCAGAGGTGACAAATGTCCGTATGCTCAGCCCTCTCAGGCCCCTGTGGCCACAGACAGGTCATGTGCACCTGAGAGCTGCTCTATATATGACCTCTGAACAACACATGGTAAACCGCACCTTGACGCAGATGATAGAGCCCGGTAGTGGGCTTGCCAGGCAGATTTTAAACATCTGAGCTGATGTTGGGATTGTCAGGATGGTATCCTTGGAGGGTAAGAGGCTGGGGTCCCCCACAGCCTCCTAGAATTCACCCTGGACAGGCAGAACCAAGTATGTCTCCCATTAGGCAGTGAGAAGAATCGAGAAGCCATGCTCTCTGAGCACTCCCAGCCTGAGTCTCCCCTGGTATACTTTGCTGAGACCATCCTTTTTGTATTTAAGATAGGAGCCTCAGATCTATACAGCAGAGGACTAATTTCTGCCAAATCTCCAAGCTGGTCGCCATGAGATGCCACAAAGCACCAACATACACCTTTTTCTATAGAGGTGTGGTAGTTACAAAAATAAGATCACGAGGCATGTACTATTCAGGAACTCAGTAGCTTTATTTAATGATATAGTGCACACAGGCTTTTCCCATAGGCATGATTGACAGCAGAGTCTTCAGCCCGGAACAGATTTTGCACAGGTGTTCCATAATTTATTAACTTCATCTCCTACCACCAGCACTGTGATAAGCAACCTTGTTTTCCCTATCTTTATTTCTTAGGATGAATTCCAAGGCTTCTGATACATAGTGGTTTTCAGAAAGGCCATGCCAGCGGTGTGTGAGAGCCTGATTCCCAAAACCCCATGGCCAGGACCAGCTGGGAGGTCTTAGCTTCTCTGGGCCTCAGTTCCCTCATCTGTAAATGGGTGTGATAATAGACAGTAGTGGCCACCCCACAGGGGCTTGAGGACAAATAAGTTAATCCGCAGACAGCGCTGAGACCAGCTCTTAGCGCCGCGGGTGCACCCTGGGGTGTATGCTGTGGCTGCTGCTGCTTTCAGTTCCCTTGTTCGTGGAGGAGGAAAGAGCTGCAGAGAGCCCAGGTGAGCAGCATGAGGTCACGGAGTTGGTGAGGCAGATCTGGAAGAGAATTCTGCTACCCTCCACTGCTGCTCCAACACGCTTCCAGATCATTCGAGCTGTGTCCTTGTGGCTGTCATTTACCTTCATGCATCATTATTTCCAAAAACCTGGGGAGTGGTGAGGCAGCCTGGGCCTCTCCCACTCCCTTCCTCAGCCCCTGCTCATTCCTCTCTGATGTGGAAATGACAGTGGTCACCAGCTCCCTCTCTCACCAGGATACACTGTAGTTTGGAGGGTGCCCCAGCCGCACCCGCTCCCGTTCCCACCATCCCCTTCCCTGACTTGCACAGGGCAAGCTGGAAGCAAAAGCTCTGTGTCTGCATGAGGCTTCCCCCAGCTGCAGTCCCAGCGCGCCCCTGCCTAAATGGAAATGAAGCTACTCCCCAGTCCTCATTACGCTGGTTTTAGGTCATTCCTAGGGAGAGTCAATCCGTCGGCTGCTCAGGTATTTTTAGATGAAACATAAGTGGCTCAGCAATTAAAGGCTATGACATACCTGAGGTGTCGGCCCAGCCAGGATGCATGGAAGAAAAATGGATGGCCGGGTGCCCTTGGGCCCACCACTCCGTCAGAACCACTTGCTGTCTCTGGACAGGAGCGAGGGGGTGAACAGGAGAGAGGAGACGCCATTAGGTGAAGGGCAGGAGAAAAGCCCTGCCCAGCCTGGCTTATCTTACACTGGACTCTGCAGCATGTACAGCCACTTGATGTCACCCTCCTCCAGAATCAGTCTTTACCCAGCATCCCCGAGCAGGACCTAGCAGGTCCCGCCCACTCCAAAGGAGGCGAGAACAAGCAATGAGCGAACCCAGCAAAACGCTGAGAGAGAAGGAACAGCAGACCCTCCCCCATGAAATTACACCGCTCAGCACCCAGGTGTTCCTCGTCCACAAGGTGCCTGGGTGACTATTCTTTGCTGCTCACTGAGGGCAGGGATGGTACCTGTTCTGTTCACTGCTGGACCTCAGGCCCCCAGCACAGACTGGCATAGAGTGTGTGTTCAGCTAATATGGGAATTAAGGCGCGGCGCGGTGGCTCAAGTCTGTAATCCCAGCACTTTGGGAGGCGGGCGGATCACCTGAGGTCAGGAGTTCGAGACCAGCCTGGCCAACATGGTGAAACCCAGTCTCTACTAAAAATGCAAAAATTAGCTGGGTGTAGTGGCGGGCACCTGTAATCCCAGCTACTCAGGAGGCTGAGGTAGGAGAATTGCTTAAACCCAGAGACGCAGGTTGCAGTGAGCCTATATATATATATGCGTGTGTGTGTGTGTGTGTGTGTGTGTGTATGTATGTGTATATATATATATTAATTAACTCCTTCCTTAGGCAGACTGCAGCAAATGTACTGGACACAGAGAATACATCAGTTATAGACAATAAAAATCTTTAAATCCTCCCCTTTCCCAGCTGCAGTCACGCTATTGCCCCATCCCAGGGTAGTTTGATCATGCTTGGCAAAGAACTCCATCTCTGGGCCTCATTTACAAGTGGATGGTTTATTCCCATGTCCTCTGGGAAAACTGTAAAGAAGTGCCGGTCTTTCAAATGTCAGGATTTGGAGTCGTGAGATGTCATTCACCAGGATTTGGTCCGGGGTCAGGGAGCAAAACTGGGGCACACCCGGGACATACAAGCGGAAGAAGTGGAGGTGCAGAGAGTCTCAGACAGGGCCACCTTCGGAAGGCACACAGCACCGACAAGGAAGGCGGAGGGTGCTGGCAGCCTTACAGACAATGTGGGCGCCCTACCGGGTGAATTTAAGGGCAAGAACTGTAAATATGGAAGTTATATATATCCGGCTTTTAAATGTAGCTGTAATAAGCAGAGATACAGCAGTACAGGTTGAGCATCCTTCATCTGAAATGCTGAGGCCCAGAAGTGTTTCAAGTTTCAGATTTTTTCAGATTTTGTAATATCTGCATATACATAAGGAGATATCTTGGGGATAGAACTCAAGTCTAAACACAAAATTCATTTATGTGTCATATATGCCTTCACAAATAGTCTGAAGGGAATTTCATACAATATTTTTAAAATAATGTGCACGAAACAAAATGTGTGTTCATGAAAAGCATCAGAAAGCAAAGGTGTGGGATTTTCCACTCGTGACATCATGTCGGCACTCAAAATGATTTGGATTTTGGAGCATTTTGGATTTGGGATTTTCAGATGAAGGATGCTCCATCTGGAGAAATCTACTTTCTGTTCAGAGTAGTCAAGGGTTCTGGACTGTGGCCCCTTCCCTCCCTCAGAATCCAATGTGCAGCCCCTCCCAGTGGGCCTCCAGGGAGCCAAGAGCTGCCCAGAGGAGAGAGGAGGGACCACTCGCCGCCCTCATTCCCTCTGAGCAGCACAGGGTAATGGATCCCCCTGCTGGGATCCTGTTCGGTGTGGGTCTGAGGAACACCGAGAGGAGATGTCGCAGCTTTGCGGCTGCTCCCAGGATGCTGCTGAAAGCCCACCTGGGTCTGAGCAGAGCTGTGCTCCCCAAAGGGGAGCCTCTTGGTGAGGGAACATTTTCAGGTGCTGCATGAACTACTAAGGTCCAATTAATGTGCATCCCAGAGTAAGCATCCCTTGGAAAAGGGCCCACGCAGCCTGTGGGTAAAATGCAGTCTCGGGAAATCCATCTCACTGACCTTGTTTTGTGCATAGACCATAGTTCCATCAAATGCTGTTCTTTCGGACTGGAGATCATCGGTGTTCAGTTTCTGAACCAACATTCCTCCTGAGGAGATGGTTATCTGCAATAAAGGTAACAGAGATTTACAAACTAAAGCCTGTGACCCCTTCCACTCTTCACCCTCTGTGGAGCAGTGCTTCTTGCTGTTGTGACCAATGACCACAAAATTAGTGGCCTGAAGAAACACACGTATTCTCCTACAGTATTCTCCTACAGTATTCTCCTACATGTATTCTCCTACATGTATTCTCCTACATGTATTCTCCTACATGTATTCTCCTACATGTATTCTCCTACATGTATTCTCGTATGGTTCTGGAGCCCAGAAGTCTGAGGTGGGGCTCATGGGCTAAAATCCAAGTGTCAGCAGAGCCACGTCCCCTCTGGCGGTTTCAGAGGAGACTCCATTCCTTGCCTTCAACTTCTAGAGGCTGTGCCAGCACTCCTCGGCTCACAGCCACGTCCTCCACCCTCTGCTTCCATGGTCAGTTTTCCTCTGAGTCCCGCCCTCCTCCTTTTCCCCATAAGGACCCTTGGGACTCCATCGAGCCGATGGAGGATACTCCAGGACATGCTCCTCATCCCAAGACCCTGAACTGAACTGCAGCTGCCAAGTCCCTTCTGCTATATAAAGGTGACACAGTCACAGGTTCTAGGATTAGGATATGAACGTTGGGGTGGGGGGTGGCAGGGATCATTATTCTGCCCACCACAGCAGAGAGAAGGCAGCCTACATTAACTGTCTTCTTCCTGCTTTCTCCCAGTTTATGATATTTCAACCCGCTGGGGGAGAAGAGGCTCCAGTAGCCAGTCCCCTCCCCTCTGAGCAGGACAGTCCTCAGAAATAGCAGCACCACCCTGACCTGAGCGCCCCACAAGCCGCCCCGGCCCTTCGGAGGCCTCCCTCCCCAGTGCTTTGCCGACGCCCATGTGACAGCCGGAGTGGGGGTCGGGGGTTGGGGGAGTTTAGAGAGGGCTGGGGTCTGAATGTGCTCTTGGCATGCCTCTGCCTCCCTCTCGGCCCCCTGACAGAACTGGGGTTTTGCCGTGGATGTGGACAGAATGGCCCCCGTAGGGCAGCCTGGCAGCAAACCTAGGGCCACTGACTTCCTATCCGGAGCAAAGTCCATTACCATCAAAACATCCCACAAGGTCACCTCACCACTCGGGGGTCGTGTTCTTTCTCCAGCACAGGGATCAGGCCGGTCGTGAGAATGTACACACCTGAGGCAACACACAGCATCCTGTGAGGGGGCAGCAGGAAGCCCCACTCAGGGGGTCCTGCAGGACTGATGTGGGGCCCATTGGCCCGCACCTGCGCCCTACAAGAGGGCAAGTGGCCCCCTGAGGGGCAGTCCCTCCTTCCAAGGATCCTCCAAGCCAAATGTTCCTTTTCCCAGGACTGGAAGAAAGATGACTTAGAGCCTCATGTACCGACAGGAAAAGATGTCCACGCTACAGGAATACAGGAAGGGAAAAAGAACACTGCCAAACAGTAGGTGGGCCCACTTTGCAGAAGGAAAAATGCATCTATATGTCCAGTCTGTGCATAGAAAAACGTGAAGATGAAATTCAGCAATACCGCTAAATTAGGTCTCAAGGGTGGAATTCAGTAAAACTTTTCCTTCCTTTGCTATACATTTCTGCACTGTTTGGATTTGAGTATTTTTACAGTGAGCATATAACTTTATGGTTATTTCTTCAAGAAATATACATATAACATTTCTAATGGAATGCGAAAAACATTGAAGTGTATTTGACATGGAAAGACATTCCTAATATATATGGAATGAGAAGTTACAAAACAGTGGGAACAATACCATTCCATTTTGGTGAGGAAAGATGTGTCAAGATGAAGAGAAAATGTCTGCAAGGATGAGTGATGCCCTGAAAGGTTAAAAATGCTCATCTCTGAATGCTGAGATTATCGTTTCTATATTCTTCTTATACATGCCTGTATTTTTTTAAACAATGAATGTTTATTACTCTGTGTTTACAAAAAAGGGAGAGTTTAAAGCCCCTCACCCCAAAGTGAGGCAGGAATCAAGTTAGGGGCTTCAAGTGACGAGCCCTGGGCTCTTTTGTGGGCTATGCCACGGAGTGTCTGTGTGACCAGCTCTCACCACAACTTCCTGCACCACCTGTGACGTGGCCTGCATCCAGCTCGCAGGAGCTGCCTGGCATCATGGGAAGGGTCCTGGAGGCGGATCCAGGGGCCTCCCTCTGAACCCTGGTTCTGGCACTTACCAGCGGTGTGACCGTAGGCAAGTGCGGTGGCATTTTCAGGAGATAATAGCTGACCAGCCCACCCCACAGCATCAGAGGGGCTTGTGGTGACATAAAAATGTATGCATGTCCTGTGAGGACTGGAAAGTTCTCTGGGCAGGCCTCCTTTGTCCTGCTCTTGCTGCATTATCATTTGTGATTCTGAGTTGTGACTTTCATCCCAGACAGCATTCTTAGTTGTTCACAGCCCAATTTATTTGGAGGAGCCTGCCTTGTTCGTATTTGTGGATTTGTGAAGTCTCCTGAACCCTGGGTCACTAACAGCTGTTAACCTCCAGCCAGTGGTCTTGGACTTCCTTTGTATTCGCCGCCGGTGGCTTTCTCTGTGATTTAATTTATGACAAGTAGAAAGGACTTCTGCCAGAAGCGATCTGCCGCGTCGGCCTGCCCTGACGGATTGTCATCAATGGCTCTTGTGAGGAAGGGAAATGAAAGCTGGCAGCCGGGCTGGCTCTGCTGCCTGCCGAGGGCACCTCCTCTCTCCTCTCAGGACGGCGAGAGCTTGGGTGAGCCCCTTGGCACCTGTCCTCCCTGCCTGGGAGGTGCTCAGCTCTCATTCCCAGTCACCTGCAGGAGGGCTGGCTGGGTCGCTTGTCCCTGCCAAGTACTGTCTTGTCTAGGGGACCGCCAAGTAGCAGGTGCTTTTTAAAAAACTCCCAGAGAAACACAATAATAATCTGCTAAAATAATACACAATATGTAAGTATGTATGTGCGTACACATATGTGTGAACACATATACGTGGGGGTATGTGTGCATATAGATAACCTCTTATTGAAAGAATTAGAGTTATAGAATCCCAGTGAGGTTCAGTGACTTATCCAAAGTCCCAGCAAGTTCAAACAATGTGGAAAACAGATGGCGCATCTCCCTTTTCTTGAGTCACGCAGCCATGCTGCATGCCAACCAATGCCAGGGAGAAGGAAGGTACCCATTCTGCAAGTCATTCTTTCCTCAGTGAACATGGCACCAGTTGCTCCTTGCCCAGCTCACACAGATCCAAACGGGCCTGTCATTAACACGTGAGCCAATGTCAGTTTCCTGCCCCCAAAGTCCTTCAACACTCTGGTCCCCACTGAATTAAGCAAACAACTCCTCAGCCTGGTGCAGTGGACTTCTTTGGGAAACATGCCCCATTCCGTCTTTTTAGGGGTAGGCCCCAAACACATCCTGTTCATAACAACAACACACACATAACTGAGTCTTCGCCCTGGGCCAGGCGCTGTGTTTGTCCCATGTGGCCTTGACCCCATGGGCAGATGGACTGGGCCAGGGGGGTGACACCTGGTCCAAGCTGTCCCAGCCAAACTCTCCCTACAAGAGTGTAAAAATGGGATGCTGAATGGAGGACAGGTGACTCAGTGGCGGCCATATGTGACCCAGATGCAAGGAAAAGCAGAGACAGAGAGTGAACGAAGCACTTGTGATAAGAGTCCATGGACAACAGTCCCCGGGAAGCAGAAGGTCACCTCAGCGGCTGACAGGTTCTCCTGTCCTGTCCCTCGCCCTCCCAAAGCCCAGCTGTGCCTCTGCCATTGAGTTCTATGAGGGCTGCCCTTGTAGCCTATTGATAAATTATTTTTTTGTTTAGTCTTCCTATGTGGGTTCCTGTTACTTGTGACCACACAAACCCTAAGACACTTGGCTTACCTCAGTTAGGAAGTCCACCAGTTCTCCCAGGATAACCAGCTACCCTTTAAAATAAGAATGTTTCCTGGGCGTGGTGGCTCACGCCTGTAATCCCAGCACTTTGGGAGGCTGAGGCGGGCAGATCACTTGAGGTCAGAAGTTTGAGACCAGCCTGGCCAACATGGCGAGACCCCATCTCTACTAAAAATACAAAAATTAGCCAGGCATGGTGGCCCACAACTGTAGTCCCAGCTCCTCGGGAGGCTGAGGCAGGAGAATCGCTTGAACCCGGGAGGCAGAGGTTGCCGTGAGCTGAGATTGTGCCACTGCACTCCAGCCTGGGCAACAGAGTGAGACTCCGTCTCAAAAATAAATAAATAAGAATGTCTCTGGATAGACACAGGTAGGGCATTGTTATAAATGGTTAATGGGTGCTTTTAGTCATTCATATCTTCTTGTGAACCAGGTCAACAACTTCCTTTCCTCTAAGACTTCCTATTAATATCAGGGACATTTGGGTGATTTAAGGTTTTGATGAGAGAAAAAGAGATATTTTAAAGTACAGAATCCCATGGGAGGGCAGGCCTGGGAGGAGGGAAGGCACCTTCAGCTACTGCAAAAGTTGCCCAAGGTTAGTCCTGCTCCCAGTAATAAGGAAACTAATTCATTATCATTATGACTCATTAGTATTTTTAATTTACACAATGCCTTTCTTCCAAGGAACTCATTATGTCGATGGATATTCATTACGGGAAAGAGATCTGGGAGTGGAATTTATGTTGGACATAGTCTTCTAAATATGGCAACAAGAACTTTTATGACATGGGTACATGACTCGAAGCAAATCTCTCTATCAACTAATTAAGAAGGGAGGTAAAACTGTGTCGAGCTCAGGTGATGCTGAAGGAGATGCTGTGTGTTCTTAGAGCACTGTGAAACTCACGTCTGCATCCTCCAAATACTAAATTCATAGTGTTTCTGAAATTATGATATCTTGAGTATGACTTTTTTTTTTTTTTTTTTTTTTTTTTTTTGAGATGGAGTCTCGCGCTGTCGCCGGACCGGAGTGCAATGGTCAGATCTCAGCTCACTGCAAGCTCCGCCTCCCGGGTTTGCGCCATTCTCCTGCCTCAGCCTCCCGAGTAGCTGGGACTACAGGCGCCTGCCACCTCGCCCGGCTAGTTTTTTGTATTTTTTAGTAGAGACGGGGTTTCACTGTGTTCGCCAGGATGGTCTCGATCTGCTGACCTCATGATCCGCCCGTCTTCGGCCTCCCAAAGTGCTGGGATTACAAGCTTGAGCCACCGCGCCCGGCCGAGTATGACATTTTAATAGCATTAAAGATAATCATTTTTAATGAGAAAAATATATCTCAATTTGTAAATTTAGCAGAGGAAAACTGATTGGCATTTCTATTAAGAAACCTTCAAAGCCACCTTGAATTAAAGCTACTTTGGTTACTAGCCAATGGGTTATGTGCTTCCATCCATGCTACTATTTGCCAGAGAAAATCATTGTCCTGCTGTCCCTGGGAAGTTTCTGGTGTTAATTTTAAAGGAGCAGACAGCTGCACTGGTGAACACCATTTGGTACTTCTTTTGTACGGTAACAAAAACACCCCATAGTGAGCCTGGAGGGCTCACACACTAATTTCACACATTATATAAAGATGATTTCAAAGATCACATTACCTGCAGAAGACTGCAGAACAGAGTCCCAGAGGAAATGAGCTATTAGAAGACATTCAAGGCACTGGCTTCTTATGGGGTATTCTCGGTTTGGGCTCAGAGAGTCGTTAGCATAAGTCAGGCCTTCCCCTTTGCCCCCTACCTCAACTCATCCCTGCCACCTTATCCAGTTCCATGCACTGAACAAGTATTTATCAAGGGCCTGCTGAGTGCCAGACCCAGCGCTAAGTACTCAGGATACAGACTGAGGGCGCCCTGCCCTCTCAGTGCCCACCAGGCATTCCCAGGCATTATACTATGTGACAAACCTAACTCATGGTCAAGTGCTAGACTGCTGTGGGTACATGGGGGGGGGGCGGAGGAGGTGTCAGGTTCTGCATGAACTATGAAGGGACATTTCAGCTAAGACCTGGAGAAGAAGAGGGAACAGGCAGGTAGTGGGCTGGGGATGGGAAGGAAGGCTGCAGGTATGGAGCACAGCCTGTGCAAAGAGGCCCTGAGGCTGAAGAGTGCAACCAGGGCAGCTGCAGCCGAGTGAGCACAGTAGAGGGTAGGGCAATGTGAGGCTGCAGTCTACAAGGGAAATGCCAGAGACACCTCATATGAAACCAAGGAGTGACT